TGTGACCCCTGTCTCTCTGCAACCTGTCTCTCTGCAGCCTGTCTCTCTGCAACCTGTCGCTCACAGCCTGTCTCTCTGCAGCTTGTCTCTCTGCAACCTGTCTCTCTGCAACCTGTCGCTTACAGCCTGTCTCTCTGCAGCCTGTCTCTCTGCAGCCTGTCTCTCTGCAGCCTGTCTCTCTGCAGCCTGTCTCTCTGCAACCTGTCTCTCTGCAGCCTGTCTCTCTGCAACCTGTCTCTCTGCAACCTGTCTCTCTGCAACCTGTCGCTTACAGTCTGTCTCTCTGCAGCCTGTCTATCTACAGCCTGTCTCTCTGTAGCCTGTTTCTCTACAGCCTGTCTCTCTACAGCCTGTCTCTCTGTAGCCTGTCTCTCTACAGCCTGTCTCTCTACAGCCTGTCTCTCTGTAGCCTGTCTTCTACAGCCTGTCTCTCTACAGCTGTTTCTCTGTAGCCTGTTTCTCTACAGCCTGTCTCTCTACAGGCTGTTTCTCTGTAGCCTGTTTCTCTACAGCCTGTCTCTCTACAGGCTGTTTCTTAGCCTGTTTCTCTACAGCCTGTTCTCTACAGCCTGTTTCTCTACAGCCTGTCTCTCTAGCCTGTTTCTCTACAGCCTGTCTCTCTGAGCCTGTTTCTCTACAGCCTGTCTCTCTGTAGCCTGTTTCTCTACAGCCTGTCTCTCTGTAGCCTGTTTCTCTACAGCCTGTCTCTCTGTAGCCTGTCTCTCTACAGGCTGTTTCTCTGTAGCCTGTTTCTCTACAGCCTGTCTCTCTGTAGCCTGTCTCTCTACAGCCTGTCTCTGTCTCTCTACAGCCTGTCTCTCTGTAGCCTGTTTCTCTACAGCCTGTCCTCTCTAGCCTGTCTTCTCTGCAACTTTGTCTCTCTACAGCCTGTCTCTCTGCAGTCTGTCTCTCTACAGCCTGTCTCTCTACAGCCTGTCTCTCTACAGCCTGTCTCTCTGCAGAGAGAAAACATCATGCCAATGAAGCCATTTGAATTGGAAATTGAATTGAATTAATAAGGATCAGTACGGATACAGAATGGCTCACAGTCTATTTCCTCTTAATATTCTTTATTCTCCTTATCACCATCTCGCCCTCATCTTGTCACCCTTTTTCACACCTGCTCCAGTGTCTGTATCCATCCCTCCTCTTTCCGTCTCACCTGCTCATCCGTTTCCATCTCTCCCCCTGCTCATCTCTCCCTGCCCATCTCTCTCTCTCTCTCACCCTGTTCAGAGTAATATCATTAATGTGATGTGCAGCTCGTCCATAAAACACTCTCTAATCTCTCTGGCTGTCTGTGGGCCTGCAGCTCAACCTGTTCAGCTATTTCTGGCTCTTCTATTTCCCCTGGTTATACACACTGTGACTGTTATCTCTGCTCGGCTGTGCAGAACTTTTTATTCAGAAATCCAGGAAAATGCCTACAGTTAAATAGAAGAATGCATTTAGTACCTGGCTTTATTCTGGTAATGCTGATGTCGTGTAAATTCTCAAACATGATCTGCAAACTGGGTGTCTTTTTGTAGAGGGAGAAATCAGATTGGGATCTGTCTGATAGCTTTCTCTAGACACCTTGATCACTGGAAAGGTTGTTTCACATATGACCGGGGCTCTCCTCCTTCTGCCATAAAGAAGGAGGAGAGGTCTGCCATAAATGTGTGTCATGTTAAATTATCTGTTGTCCTAGAAAGAACACATCAAATAGATCTGTAGAAAGACTAAACACAGATTTACCTCCTCCGTCGACTGAGATCTTTTTGGGTCTCTGACCCTGATCATGCTCTGAACAGAGGATATGAACTATTCCCATCAAACCTCTTCTTTCTGTATCTACACACACACACACACACACACACACACACACACACACACACACACACACACACACACACACACATCACACACACACACACACACACCACTGACCTTTCCATGAGTGTGTGTCTCTCAGGTAGGAGGAGGTGGAGGTGTGCAGAGACACAACAATTCTTAATTAAAGACGCTAATGTGCTCTGCAGCTGCAGGTCTGAACATCTGAGTTAAATCCTGGATTACACAAACACACACACACACACACACACCACACACACACACACACACACACACACACACACACACACACACACACACACACACACACACAAGCTACAAAGCCACAAAGCGTCTCCTGCCTCGTTCAATCATCCAAACATTAACCATTCTCAGAACAGGAAGAGACATAAATCTCCATCTCTCCTCCTCTCTAACTCCCTCCATCATCCCTCCTCCTCCTCCTCCTCTTCCTCCTCCTCCACGCTGTTGTCTCCCCCTGCCTCCCCCCTTTAATCAGACTCCACCTGTGTACCTGCAGCTCTCAGACGGCCTGTCCTCTGACAGGTAATCCATCACAGGTCGGCGTGAACGTTCTGCAAAGACGTCACTGAGGAGACGCTCTCGTCCTCATACATCAGCAGCTCGACCACACGACAACATGCTAATGTGAGAGAAATCACACCTGAGCGAAGAAGCTCCTGTCATACATCACAATCATCTCATATCACAGTGTAATGCCGAGGGCGGCGTCATACTGCCACCTAGTGTTTCCCAGGTTTACTGACATCACAAAGGAGGGAGAGTCATTAACATTTAAAGCTTCTGACGGTCTGGCCTAGTGCAGCCTGACAGAAAAATCATATAACACGAAGTAGAAAGTGTAGATATGAGATGTATTCAGTAGGGACGTAAAGATTAATCATTCAATCGTGATAAATCGATTCAAAGGTGTCAAGATTCACATCGGGACTGAATCGCAATATTATGGTGAGTGTCAGCAGCTGCAGAGCAAGATTTAGAAATTGAGGACGCACCACCGTCTTTTAAATCGGAGGTGTGGAAGCATTTTGGCTTCCCCCAAGACAGAAAATGAAAGAGGTGAGAAGATAACAGACGAGATAAAAACTGTGTGCAAATATTACGAGAAGACAGAGAACTACACAAACAGCACGACCAACATGATGCAGCATTTAATCCACACCACAACGAGAAGCTCCAATCACCTCCCCTTGCTGAGAGAAAAACATTTAAAGGCCAAACCACAATGACAAGCGGGTTTGCAGCTCCTAAAAGAATCTGATTCAGTCATCATTTGTCTTCAGTCACATTTTGAAAAATAAATCGTGAGAGAATCGTATCTTGAGATGAGTGAATCATAGGGCCTAGTTAGTATTCAGACATGTCTCAGTACTACCTCAGATTTAATACCTTTGAAAAGTCTAACATTTTAAAGACTTTTTACGATCTTACATTTAAAAAAAAAAATCTAATTGAACACTTTTAAAGACTTTTAAAGGACCCTTGGTGACTCGTTACCTCGAGATAACTAGCTGACTTTTTTTTTCAGAAAAAAGAGCAGATTTGTATTTTCTCATGTGAATGTAATACTCTGCCATAGATTTAAAATAATCGTCACTTTAACAGCTACATATTTTCTTCAGTAAGAAGGAAGTGTCGTGTGTGGTCGTGATTTGGCTCCAAAGAGCAGAGATAGTTATGAGGATCGGATTTCTTTAATTAATAATTACGATATTAAAGATTAAATATGTGACGTCCACAGGTACAGAAGTGTCTTTGGTCTTCTCTTAACCCGCCTGCACCTCTTTCGTGGAAGACATTTGTTCTACCTGTCTCTATGCAGCCTGTCGCTTACAGCCTGTCTCTCTGCAGCTTTGTCTCTCTGCAGCCTGTCTCTCTGCAGCCTGTCTCTCTGCAGCCTGTCTTCATCTGTGAAAATATGAACGAATCAGATGCATTGTTTGAGTGTTTAGACACACGCTGATTCACAGCACTTGTTGTTCACGCGAGGCTCATTAATGTTATAAATGGCTCAATGTCGCCACCGTGCGTTCAAACATGGGGTACTGCAGGAGGACTCACTGGTGGTGTTCAGGAAGCTTCAATTTAAAGAAAACTTTAATATAACAAACATGTAAATAACAAAGCTTCACGTCTTCTCTTTCATGTCTCTTCTCTCCAATCGCTCTCTCACAGATCCTGACTGATCAGTAATGTCCTACACTTCCCATAATGCATCATTTGTCTCTCACAAGACTCCTGAGTCTGTCAACAAAGATTGATGATGATGATGATGAAGATTGGAAATATGCAAGCCAAAACTTGGCAGCTGAAAAACGTCTTGCTCTCGAGATTTCCATCCTTCATGTTGAACATGGTTCCACACATCGTCTGTTTGGGGCTGAAAGAACGCCACAGCCTCACGGTAAAAAAGGTGAGCCTCATGTCTCACATATGAGAATTTAAGTGTCCATTGTATTCAGATTGTTTAAAGACATGTGACACACTGCAATCCATTTGACGCTGCTGCTCTGTTGCTGTCAGAATAAGAAAAATGCAACCTTCATTTCAGAATAAGAAAAATGCAACCTTCATTCGTTTCTGTCTTGTAGTTATTTTCTTTTTCAACACATTTTTAAACTTCTGCTTATCTCCCTTTTTGACCATAAAGAGGAAAAGCAAAGGGAATCCGTTAGTGTAGTTGTTAGTGCGCACGCCGCAGGTACGGGGGGGGCTACAGTCCTCCGAGCGGGCGGCTCATCAATCCAATAATGAGAAGATACATGGACCCACAGTGAACATGTTCATAACCTTAAGCTTTGATCAGTGTTTGTTATAACCTGTCTTTGCAGCAGATCTCACACAGGTGAGACTGAGACAATTAAAAAAACAACCTCAGCGCTACATCTGTTAGCTGCTAAAGAATGTGAAGGATGAAAATGTTCTTACCTTTGTAGTGTCGATCATCTTTTTTTTTTGCCACAAAGAGAAAAAGAGAAAAGAGTCATCTTAAAACGCTCATTCTGAGAGAGACACAGATTGAAGATTTGCATCATAGAACACACAACGATTAATCATAAATTAGACAATACTTTAATCCGCACATTGTGACTTTGTGCTCTGTGTACATGGAGGTTCTAATATTTATAAAGACCTCAACTTTGACTTCACAAAGATGAGCTCATGTAGAAGAAAAAGACTTGAGGGAATACGTGAAAAACTCCATGGAACACAATTTACTGACTGACAAAGTTCAGCGGGCAAGAGAAGTGGTTCAGATAGAAGTGATTGTACCCGACCTAAAAAGCCTCTGCATGTTTCTAATAAGCTCCACGAGCAGAAACGTGCTCAAACTAGGATCGATATTGGAGATGCTTTTGAAAAATGGAGAGAGGTTAGAACACAGAAAGGTTTACAGACCGATGCAGAGCTGGATAAACATTGAAGCTTCAGTGTCCACCACATGGCAACCTGTGTGAGCATCCACTCTGGAGAGGAGGGGGCGGGGGGACACAGCTCTCTACAATGTTTTGAATTTAGACTGCAGTACCCATTTTAAACACTAGGTGTCAGAGTTACATATTGCTCCTTAAACTCTCTGGGTGAATTAGAAGATGTTTTTTGACAGTATGCTGTTTTTTAATTTGCAGAGGTTCAGTGGGCGCTAAAGCTGCAAATACATTTAGTGAATCAGGTCTATCTCATCATAATCTGCTTCAGTTTTGTTCTTTATTTATATTGAACTGTTAAAAGGTGACTCACAGCGACACACAGGTTTGGGAGTGTCCCACTTCCCCATCTTGTTGCACTGAGACGAGTTTCTTCCCATCAGGATGAAACCAGGCAGACAGCTGTAGTGCAGCACCGTCTCCTCCACGGGGGGTCCCGGGGGCCATGAAGACACCCGACCGTTCTCCAAAGACGTCCCCACACGAGGACATAACAACACTGAGACGGACACACACACAGGAGGGAATATTTCAGATAAGACTGAACCAGTGTGACAAAGACGTACAAACTGTGGCTTTGATTAAAAGTAAAACGAGTGATATGACAGAAAATTAAAATCTTCATCATATTCAAAAATGGTTAAAGATTTCAGTTTGTTTTCTAATAGACAAATTAAATGTTTAACGCTGTTTTGCCAGAGCCTGAACCACAACAGTCAGCTTGTAACAGCTCAGAAAAAGAGGATAAATAATAAAAAAATTTAAATGCAACTAATGTCTGACAACAGCAAATTGAAGTAAAATATCATGAAAATATCAAGTGAGCACAGGCGTTAGAAATAATATGTGTGTGTGTGTGTGTGTGTTGTATGACTCACTCACAGCATCTGCTGCGCAAGCTCAGGTCGGTCCACGTGCCGTTGGGCAAACACTTCCTGACCTTTGGCCCGACGATCATCCTGTTTCCTCTGCAGATGTACTCGATCTCATAATCTACAGGGAGCACCTGAACCCTGCGGATCTACACACACGCACACACACACACAAACAGCTCAAACAAATGTCTGTATGTTTCATAGGCTTTGTGAAACATGGCCACCCTTTGTTGGTTACAGAAGGGGAGTTCTGAAGCTGAACGGTGGCCATACTGAAAATGTTGTCTCAAACTAATTGTTGCTCAACCTAACAGACGGCAACCAGATGGAGCTGACGCAGGCTTTAAGCCTCCAGACCCTCCAGGCTGTAAACGTGTTTATTTCTGCTGTCAAAATATAAATCTTAGTATGGATATATATGTGACTCCCTGCTCTATTGGAGCCAGCCTCTAGTGGACACTCGAGGAACTGCAGGTTCATTTTTCAACACAGGAGGTTTCTGCTTGGTTTACTCCTAACCTCACCTCCGTACTATTGTTGATGTTTACAAAAAAGTTTTCTTTGAGAGAAAAAAAAGGGAGCAAAGGAGAAAACTGGTTAGTTTATCAGTGAAACATGGACAATACTTTACAACTCAGTATATTATTAAATACTTTATGCTTGACATTTAGAACAAATGGGATGCCCTCTAGTGTTGGTATCCGAAGGCAGACGACGTCAAACTTCTGCTCTGCTACACATTTATGTTATTCGACTTCCGGGTCAAAGCTCGGCTAGGGAACTGTGGCGCATGCTCAGATCACAGAGGCCTGTTTGGGGACGATTGAAGCGTAAACATGCAGTGAGTAAATCGACCTCAAACGCATCATCTAGGTGTCCGACTTAGACAAATTCAATTTTGGTCAGACTAACTTGTTTATATGTATTTTAAAAGTCCAGTTTCAGTCGGACTAACACAATAAATCAACTTTCTTTAAGCTCATGTAGACGTGTTGAGTGTGTCAGCAGGTGTTCCTCACCTGCTCCTGTGTCAGTCCTCTGTACCGGATCCCTCCATCTCTGGGAGGACGGATGATCACACAACCTGCAACACACGAACACACCGTCAAGTAGAACAGAAATATCAACACCAGAATGTGTATCTAAAACAGATCCTGTGTGTATCAGACTGAAGGTTCTTCTTCTTCTGTCACATAAAACACCAGTCTGTCAGTCATGAACACACACACCGTAGCTTATTAACAGTAACACATATACACCACTCTGCAACCCCAAATATTCTCAAAATCACCAAATGTGGAGTCATCCGCCGCTGGAAGTAGTCCCCAACTAATGCACTATTTCCTGCTTCCTCGCCTTGTTGCTGAGATGTGCTAAATAAATGAACTGGCCTTGCCGTGATGTTTGTTTACAACACTCAGCTTTTGTTTGAGGAGATTACTGTCTCTGTCAGTTTGTTCAAACGCAGCTAACCTTTAAAGAGGTTTTTGAATAAAAATGAAATTAAGAATCAAACGTTCTAACGTGAGCACAGTTATTAATCCTTATAATAAAAAAATCCAACATCCAGCCCAAAAGCCACCTAAGAGAAAAATCCCTTGTTCCAGAAGTTACAGAATGATCTTCTTCTGGTCTGTTTCAGGGCTCTGCCACTAGAGGGCGCCCTCTGTCATGTTTTCAGCCGTGCAGGACCAGCTCTTTATCCACCTCTGTGATTCTGAACACAGCTTCTCTGCAAGGATTGCTGCCAGCTTTTTTTTTTCGCCTGAGCGAGTGTTTCACATGAACAAACGTGTTTTCAGAGGGATGACGGCAGCTTTTTATTAAAACTATCGGAGTCTGACCCGCAGGAGGAGGAAACACATTTATATGTAGAGGACGTCTGAGGCATTCAGAGGCTCTGTGTGCAGAAAGAAGAGATGACATTTGGAGCGTGCGGGGACATTAATGTTTAATTCTGCAGCCTCAACGATTCCGGTGGTATAAATTTGAGTTTTCTTTGAAACAGTTGAATCAGAAGATGTTCAGTAATCAGATCCTCTCTGTTTAAATTCACTGCAGTGCAGACCTGAAACAACCTTTTCACTGCAGCTTCACATACTGTCTGATTCATGTTTAAAAACTGCGCTCTGTTTGCTAACATCGCCACACAATGCATGTAGACAACAGCCTGCTGGTTTAAAGCTGTGTGTTTGTCCTTTTATTTTGGTAACCCTGTCACATTTCTTCTTCTTCTTCTTCTTTCTTCCCAACACTTTGAGAAATTCATATTTCTACACAGAAAAGATTCAAATCTGACTCCATGAGCACATCTGGACTGCTTACACGCTCAGATAATTCAAACTACGATTAAAGCTCGGTTAGGTCATTTCATTGGACGGCTTTTGCTTGTCCCTGTCATGTGCTGTTTGAAGAATGGACAGCAGGAAAACCGCACCTCAAGTGAAGCCAAAAGATTTAGAGCTTTTCATGCAGGTGGGACATGCCTGTGTCCTCCGCTTCATGATAAACACACACAGCCGCTGTGTGGTACATTATGTTCACCCTGAAGTAGCAGCTTAAAAGAGCTTCATGTGAATTCCCGCTTACAAAAAATGTACAAGATTTTTTTAAATCTGAGGGGGTCACGCTGTTCCCTCTGACGTTTTCTCCAGGAACGGCGTTCACTGCTTTCCCTCCCATATTCACCCAATACAGTTTGCCTGCAATATAGTTTTTACTTCTTGTGAACCTCATAGATACCCCCTTTTCCACCAAAAGGAACCTGGCGCTAGTTCTGGGCTGGTCCTAGTTCAGAGTCTAAGAACCACTTTACGTACTCCTCCACGAGCAAGGGCCGCTTCATTGTGTCACTAAATACGTCTCTGATTTCACAGAAACACTTCAAGCACAACAACAACAATTGAGGACTGCTGCATCTCATTTCAGGTATTGCTTCTGGCTTTGATAAGCTATATCCGCATTCTTACACGACAAGTCCAAAGAATTTGCCGTCCCCATCTCTTGCTGAATCAGTTTTAACCCGGCCTTAGTCTTTGAAGGTCCCTCAAACTTATTCTGGACTTCTTTTTAAATGGTGGCCACAGCAGAGTTTTGGTCACGATAACCCCGCCCCCAGCCCTTAAGGTAAGCGGTTATTTTTTGTAGACCAGCAGTAAGGACTTGGTGCTAGTCTAGAACTGTTTTTTTTTCTGGCCTAGAGCCTGGTTCCAGATTCTGCACTGGCTCCAAACGAGCCCCAGAACCGTCTTGGTTGAGAAGGGGCAACAGGAGGTTGAACCAGCGCTTTCTCCCCCTGGTGGTGAAGAGTCGTCCACTGGCAAATCTGTAAACTCCCAGACTGTTTTCCTTCATACAACCAGAGCATGCTCAAACCTGATTGGTCAACTCAACTCGGACCAGAGACTAAAAGCGAGACGCCAAACATCGTCGTCTCTCGCCCCCACACGCTCTCTATTCACGAGCAAAATGTGTTGTAAGAGATTACAATACAGCAAGTGAATGAATATAACCACCCGCAACTCTAAACCTGAGCAGCCTTTCAATAGGAGCAGATCACACATACACACACACACACACACACACACACAGAAATACACACACACGCACACACACACACACACACACACACACACACACACACACACACACACACACACACACACACACACACACACACACACACACACACACACACACACAGAAATACACACACACAGAAATACACACACACAAACACACACACAAACACACACACACACACACACAGAAACACACACACACACAGACCCCCACACACACACACACACACACACACACAGAAACACACACACACACACACACACACACAGAAACACACACACAGACCACACACACACACACACACACACACACACACACACAGAAACACACACACACAGAAACACACAGAAACACACACACAGACCACACACAGAAACACACACACAGACCACACACACACACACACACACACACACACACACACACACACACACACAGGAGAATGTAAACAGAGTCTTTGATGAAGACATCAGTTCAGCTTTGATGTAGATGGGGAGTGACCTCCGCACATGCAGACAAACACACACACATGCATGCTCACAGCCGACACACACACACACACACACACACCCCTTCTGTCCTTTACACTACCACCATGTGAAGTCCATTACAGATGAAAGCAATGAGTCCTGAAGAAGCTGCTCCTCCTCTCTGTGCAGGTATTTTACTGTAAAAGCTTCATTTCACAGGAGAGACATCACAGGTATGTTTTCTGTTTTTTCATTACCTGCACAGTATCACTCTATAATCCCCCCCACACACACACACACACACACACACACACACACACACACACACACACACACACACACACACACACACACACACACACACACACACACACACACACACACACTGCAGGTTCACCCACAGTGTAAAACCCTAATTACTAAACAGGCAGCACATCTCTCAGCAGAGTCCAGGAAAGACCAGCAGACGTGACTCCACTAGCAAACACCCCTCGGACCTCCCCCCACTGCTCTGCTCAAAGAGGGAAATGACAGCTGGGTAATCTGTGTGCAGGTTTATGTCTGTGTTACAGAGATGTGACATCTGCCTGGGAGCATTAGTGTCAGAGTGTGAGCGCCGTACAAAAGCCTCCGTAATCATCACGTCGAGTTTACAGCAAATATTCATCAGAGCTCTGAGCTCCCGTCGCTCTTTAAACGTGGGATCAGTCTGACTGCCAAACGGGCTGTTAGAGGAGGAAATGGTGCCTGTCCGATGTTCGGCAGCACTTAAATGTTCCAGGCTGACGGATATGACCGAGGGGAGAAGGCTGAGACCTGCAGGACCAACACGCAGACATCCATCATTAGTCGTTTCCACACATGCAATCCTGAAAGTTTCTGAAAATCTACAAAATAATCCTGAGTTGCATTCATATAAAGGGGACATATTATGAAAAATCCACCTTTACAGTGTTTCTGAACATATATTTGTGTAACCTGAGTGTCTACTGACCCACAAAATGTGAAATAAACTCATCCAGTCCTTTGTTTGTGGTCTGCATAAGTCTTACAACACAGAGAAAAATGCTCTGTTTCAAATTTGCTCTCCTTGTGATGTCACAGTGGGATTATGGTAAAAAAAAAAACTCCCCTCCCCTGGTATCTCCACCACCAGCCTAGAACAACACTTTTGCTACAGACAAGTGATGTCTGCTGGGAAAACTCAGGGAGGGGCTCATTGCATTTAAAGAGACACACACACCAAAACGGAGCGTTCTGAGGGAGCTGGTTTATACAGGGTCACAAACCTCCTCTGGTGTTTGATTCATGTTATATTTTGACCAAAGCACAGCACAGATGTTTCATTTAGACCACAGGAGACTGTTTGAAAAGGTGGAGAAGGAGGATATGTCCTCTTTAACATCATATCAAGCTCAAAACTGGTTAAAAAAATATTGCCCATTGGGAGCTGAACAGTGTGCCGAGCTTTTTCCTTTTCTTCTGCAGTTCATACATTTCTTGTCTTGCACTTGGATGCATTTTACCTGGACGTGCACTCACTAGTTTCTCTTTCGTTCACACACGTCCCGAAACAGCAGGAGGCTATCCGTGTCAGACGGGATGCAGGGTATTATAAGAATGTTTGCCTTCTTATCAATCCTGCACAAACTTTAACTTACAATCCGTCCCTTCAAATGAGAGGCCAATAACACACTGGTGACTCACAGTGTGCAGACAACACAAGAAGCATTTGCATCAGACTTTAGACTTAGACTTTACTGTCCTAAATGGGAAATACTTCTACACAGCGCTGTACAGCTTTGACAGCACAGAGTGCATTACACAGTCCATACAAACACACACACGGCTGATTCTGCGGGGCCTGCTGTTAAGGGCAGTTGTGGCTGCAGGGATCAGGCTTTTCCTGAAGCGAGCCTTGCTGCGCCTCAGTGCTCTGTACATTTACCCAGAGGAGTAAGGTGCTAATTTAGTGGGTGTGTGATGTCCTGTTCTATTGACGTTCGCCCTGAAATCACACCCAGGGTGCATGATAAAAACATCATCATCACTCCTGCTCGTTAACGGTTAATTTTCCTGAATATTACTTTTTTTAGTCCTAATTACAACTACAGATTGTAACCTATTAAAACATGTGCTATCCAAAAGTATCAACATTTTTGTCGAACTCAGAGTGCACATAATCACACATTCACAGACACAGCAGCTCACAGAGCATCTTTTGTATCAGAGTCACGGTGTCAGACACACACACACACACACACACACATTCACACACACAGAGTTATTACCAGCTGATGTATTATACGCTGACACGCTGAGGGAGAGCAGCACGGTGAAGAGGAGGAGGAGGAGGAAGGAGAGCGCCATCCCTCCACCTGAAAACAAAAAAAACACAGAGAGAGAGAGGAGAAACATCAGAGGAGAGAGAGGAGCTGCAGAGACACAGCATGAAAACACAAACAATCCAGCACGATGCTCTGTTGTACGGTGTGTAATTAAAACCTCTCTGCTTTGTTTACATCACTGTACAATTAGCCACATGTAGCTTAAGTGATGCTGTATGCTTCCGTACTTCAAAAGGCTGCACAACATGTCGGTGATAATGTTCTGGTGATAATGGACGTCTCAAAGGTCTCGAGTTGTCCCAGCACAAATCTGCTCCAGCAACACTGCAATGTTTGAAACAAAAAAAATAACGCTCAAGTTACTTTCCCAAGTAAATAGTTCTCTTTATACAAATTTTTCGACCAATTAAGAAGCTTTGTGGAAGCTTGTGAGCCAATCAAATTCATCCAAACACTATGTCCTGCCTTCTATTTTGTGATTTGTTCTATCCAGTTTTAGTTTGAAATGCATGACGACATGGCTGTTAGATACTCTCCAAGTTCAGTTTCATTGTGATTTTAATCACCAGTTACTTTAGATTATCTCAATCTGGGACGATATAGACCCGGGTGCTGCAGGCGGAGGAACACATGTGGTGTAAAGAAGGTGTGCTAAGTTCAAAGTGGCTTACTGACAGTAAAGGGAAGCACTGGAAAAAATTCTTAATAGAGCACACGCTTACATCCTCACTGATTTTTTGGGGATGTTTGGTTCTTAAAATAAGCTAAATGACGTTGTATGTGGCCCCGTCTGGAGCGATGAAATAGACTAGACTCCATGCCTGCACTCAAAGCCAATCTCTCCTTAGAGGGGCCGAGGTGACCGACAGCTCCTGCGGCTCATACACTGACTATTGAAAAGTACCTCATACAACCCCACTTCAACAATGCAGAACAATCCCTTTAACGCTGAAATGTATTTACTGGAACAGAAAGAACAAAAATCCTAAAATACTTGAGCGAAGTGCTGGAGAGCACAGGCTGGTTTTTCCTCTCATAATAAAGCCCTAAATAGAAAAGAGGCTCTGAATGGTCTCTGGGTGAATCAATACATCAGTTTATTGGAAAACCATCAGCCAACAAAGAGCCGCACTCTGCACGGCTCACACAGGGACCTTAAGGTTCACTTCATCCTGTGCTCGAGGAGGCTTAATTGCTGCACAATTTAAAGGGGACAATCACTTGTGTTGACCTACTGCGGAGGTCTGATAAAAAAAGAAACAGGAGGACTGAAGCTTTTTTTCTGTTCTCTACATCTAGTATTAAAAACACGTTTGAGAAGCATAAAGAGCTAGCAGCAGCAGCAGAGTGAATGTGAGATCAGGCTGCAGAAACTGCATGTAAATGATCCTAACACTGTGCATCACTGCAGACTCACAGTCACCTGTTTCATGCTCCACTTTAAACCTCAATCAGCTGTGGAACAACGAGGCAGAAATTCCATTTCATTCTCATTTGAAAACGTCGAATATGGTGCTATGTTGTAGTGCATGCAGCGGCACAGAATCACAACATGCAGCTCTGACTAAATGACTATGACCAGAGTGCAACAGCTGCCTTTGTAGCTGCCGCCCGAGGGCAGACAGTGTGAAATGTCTGTCAGAGCAACGGGTTCAGTTTTTGAGCTCGGCTGCAGAGAGTAATCCTCTGACAGAGAGCACCGGGACTACAAAGTCACTGTTCGAAAAAACAAAGACGATTCAGTCCATTTCAGACCTACTGAAGATTTCTGATTGTATATCTGGTGCCTATTTCTAAGATTTTGAAATGACCACAAATATGATCCCTAAAGCCTCACTAGCACCCCCTATATGCTTTCTTGTTGACTACATTCAACAACATATTAAATAGGAAAGAACAAATGACATAAAAGGTCCAAAAGCCACAGACTGTAAAGAGTGGATGTAACCTCTGGGACAAATTTTTGTAGTAGTGCTTTCACACTTGCAGAAAACTCCTGATATTTCCAGGAGGAGCTGCATGTGTGAACGCAAACAGCTGAATTTTTTTTCACTCAGACTTTACCCAGAAATTCCTCCTCGTATTTTTTCTGCATGAAGTCCAAATGAGCTGATGTGAGAACGCAGCAGGATATTCTCTGGAGAATTCACCTCGAGTCAGTAAGAGAGGGTGGTGACTGATGCACTGTGCATAGACTGTCTGCACGTAATTAAAAGGATGCTTTATGTTTTCTGTTCTTCTCCAAACTTTTGTTATTGTGATTCTGTCGAACTACACAGCATTGAGATAAAGACTCTAGTCTAAAGCACATTCCTCTAAAATTGTCTTCAGGTAAATGATGTATTTTGGTTTGCAGAGTGTGGCTAATATTAGCAGTGCTAGCACCACCGGCCTTCCTCCTCTCTGCAACTTACACATCTCTGTGCTACATGTGCAGAATAGAGTCCTATTATTCTTTTATCATCCTATTACTCCAGCATTATGAACATTTTAACTAAGAACATCTGACATGTCGTTACTCTACAAGTTAGCAAGAAAACTTTGACGCTGACTAACGCAGCTAAGGTCACATCATTGGTGCAATATAGATAACGCTGCAGTTATAGCGCCCTCTGCAGGACAAGTAATATGACAGCGCTACTTTTTTTTTTTTTTTTTTGGGTGGGGTCTTTTTATGCCTTTATTTAGAGATAGGACAGTGGATTGAGTCTGACATTGGGGAGAGAGAGAGTGGGGAATGACATGCAGGGAACCCTGGCCACCCCGCTTGGAGGACTGTAGCCTCCGTACATGGAGCGCCCACATTAACCACTAGGCTACCAGCGCCCGGATAGCTCTATTCTTTAAGTTAGGCAGTTTTTTTCTGCACTTTTTTGTGAAAAAGAAAAGAAAGAAAAACATTTCTTTCAATGTGTCCAGCAGATATTTTCTCAAGTTTTATGGTCCATAAAATTAAAAAAAAGCGATGGATATTATCCTTAATTAAACAATTAACCTGAAGTTAACCTGATTCAATGCTTTGTGATAAAAATTTAATTAAAAATAATCACTCTGCCAGAACTTTCCCTGGAAGTCGAAGTGAACACAAATCAGTGACAGGTGACACACAGCAGAAGGCGGCCTCTCCTCTCGTCAAAGATGAAGCTGGATGCTGGCTAATTCTGTTGCCTAGCAACCATTCACACACTCGGGTGCTGTGTGTGGATGCTCGTTCACATTTAAGGCTGATGATGGTTTGTCTCCTCTGGTTACCATCACGCCAACACAGTGCTGTGTGTGTGTGTGTGTGTGTGTGTGTGTGTGTGTGTGTGTGTGTGTGTGTGTGTGTGTGTGTGTGTGTGTGTGTGTGTGTGTGTGTGTGTGTGTGTGTGTGTGTGTGTGTGTGTGTGTGACAGGCTGCGAGAACATCCAACACATCCTCCTCCTCTTCATCTCTAGTGAACACACACGCTGAGGATCACAGGGTTATAATCCATCACACACACACACACACACACACACACACACACACACACACACACACACACACACACACACACACACACACACACACACAGAGGAAGGTCAGTGTTTTTATAAGAATAGTGTTCCACCTTTTCAGTAACGAGATTTATTCTGAGCTTCAGCCGGGTCTTCAGTTTCCTCCCCAAAGAGAAAATCAGTCTTCGAGATAAACGTCAGCTCTCAGAGAGACGTTTATATTTATTTTAATGCGACTTAAACTGTGTCTAAACTGTGACAGTGTACACGTTAATTATTTTATTTAAGAGGGAACACCTCACTGGGGACTGAGTCAGACACTGAGACGGTCTCATTGAAAACTTCTGTGTGTTGCTCATATCAGAAAGAGAGAAGTTACTGAAGCGTCTGAGTGTCTGCCCTGTAAATTCAACCAACACCGTATAAAATACAAAGTTAATGTAAGAGGGGTCGTCCAAGTCTGTTTACTGCTGGAACTTCATGGACATATCCCCACTACCTGTGTGCTTCTCACCAACGTAATCTCTAGAACCCGACCGACTAATCAACCAGCCGATAATATCGGCCAATATGAGAATATCACATGATTTATTCACCTGTCAAAAAGCATTTCATTTGAGTTTCAGCAGAATAGCACAGTGTGCAAAATGGATTACAAGAAGGGGTGGCGGCGGCGGCTCAGTGGTAGAGTCGGTCATCTCCTAACTGGAAGGTTGGGGGTTTGATCCCCAGCTCCTGCGGCCACATGCCGATGTACCTTTGGGAGTGACAACTGCATTTGAGGGATCAACGTATTAAATGTGTATATCTACATCAATCTATCTAAAGATCAATGAAGGATATCGGCAAATACTTCGGTATCAGATTTTTTTTCCCTCCCTAATATCAGAATCGGTATCGGCCCAGAAATCTCCCATATTGGTCGTGCCCTATTAATCTCTATTTACAGATTGTGAATATAAATACAGAATATTTGCATGCAGGATCAGACTGGCTTGGGTATAAAGACATTTCTGAGAATTGTGGATTTTGACAATTTCGATCGGGCTTTTCGCTTCCTAACAGCAACCGTCTAATCTGCCAGGACCCGCTGTGCTCCTGTAACATTTTGTCGCTTGTGATGATCTGCTTGTTGCGCACCGATCTAGGAGGGATGGTGTGCAACATGATAGTAAGAAGAAGTGTTCCCCCCTGCTCCCCAAACCAGAGGCTGGACTATAAGTCAACATATAGTTTTATAACACCCTGTCAGGACCAGAAAGAGACACTGCCAAACTGATGAAATTGATCTTATTGGACACCTGACATTCTGTTTTCAAGCTTAAAGGAAATTTAAATATCGTCTACTTGGAA